GGGTTCCCTCTTTCACATATCTTGCTAGATATGATTAATGGTGCTCACGTAAAATGCAACTAAATATTTATGGAATTTTTAGCACTCTCGTAATTAAATATCTGAATGTCTGCATCTTCCCAGGGACAATGTATAGACTGCACATGTACAATGTACATGTACATTCAGTTTACTTTCGATTCTTGGAATAATCAAAATGCAACCACTTTTTCTCAAATATTTGTATTTTAACAAATGTATTTAATTTTCAGCACCTACACCAGTATAGACTTCCTTTCAATTGCTGGAATAGCGGAAATGTCATTGTCTACATGTATAATTACCTGGTGCATGCAACCAGATTGGTAAGTACAGTGACGCATCGTGTCCTATCCATACATGTTATATCTGAACCGTTCATAAACAAATCCTGTTTTTTTTTCTTAATTAAATAACTGTATCCGAGCGTGCATATCCACAAGGCATAAATATGCATTATAGTTTTATTACTCAAGTCGCTGATCTATAGGAACCACGTGTGCATGTAGTCTGTGTATGCTTATATGTGTGTGTGCTCAGATGTAGTCCATTTATGATCTCGCTAGAAGCAAGGCAGTTGAATTTATTACCCCAGAATCAATATTTAACTTGGAATGCACCCTGCTCATTCCCAATGATATGCTAACCCTCAAAAACAGTCGGTGCATTGCAGAGAGAATGATTAAGTATTTCTAACTAATTTAATATTTTATTAGTATTTTAAGATGTAAAAAATAAGTTTAGATTGTCCCATATGTTATGTTATGTTGTTGCTTAATAGGAAATATATAAAATAATGTTGGGTGAATTACATGTTTAAACATACTTAGATGATTTTTGTTGTCGTAGGTTAAGCTAATTATCCGTATCACATTACATGTATTTGGTATAATAACGGGGATACAAGCTTATCTATCGCTTTGAAACATTCTCTACATCTTTATATTTTAAACATGATAAGCTGGCAATTTCAAATTAATTTGTCTATGGAGAATTTCAGACGTTGATTGCTAGTTCATGGGAATTGATAAAGTCCGTGTTTGTGCAATGTTGACAAACCCATTATTTAAAAAAAACATGTTTAAATTTTATTTTTTTCAGTTGTGGATAATAAATGAAAAGTACTTGAAGCTTTGTCATTTGAATCTATTTATAGACATGACGTTGATCTGAATGGTGGAGGAGGCATTACAAATGGAAAACAGCTCAAATAATCAATTAACTAATAATAGTAGAATATCAAATAATTGTTTCAGAAATCATTTTATCAATTTGTCAATTCGTTAATCAATTGATTTATTATCAAAAATCTGATGATCAAATAAATGATTGATCAGTCAATCCGTCTGTTAATCTATCTATCAATCAATCGATTGAATAAATTCATCCATCGATCAAAACAATCAATCAACCAACCAGTCATTTAATCATCGATCAAATAAAAAAAAAGTCAATTACTGAAAACAATTATTTAGTTGTTTTACCATTAAACCACCAAAACCACTGAGAAAGATAATGCTTCAAATACATTGATTTGCTGATCACTTTATTTGATATTTAATTGATCACAGACTCGACGATAACTGAGGCCTACAAACTCAATCAGTATAACTTGGTCTTTGACATTCTGAGTTGTGGGTTGTATTTAAATTTCTCAAAATAAAAGTACATGTATACATTTCAAAGTAATAGTAGACATATCTTAATTAAAAACATTGATATAAATCTGTCTATAGAAAACCCAAACCAACAATTTGCGTGTTATGCATACAACTTATGATTGGTTTGATTGCAATGAATAAAATGCAAATACAAACCTGTAACTATTTTGTCCAAGTTACTGATTCTTTCCAAACGGTACCTGATGGTACTATTACCTTCATTATCACAACAGTGCACAATTCCTTTGTTTCACTCTACACTTCATGAAATTTCAAAACTTCAAACCATGCATTTCAGTGATAAAACATGATCCTGCAAATGAATAAATACTATACACGTAAAAACAAAATCAAATCTCCCGTGTGGTGTCTACAAATGTGCTCATGATGAAAGTGCATCTTAACAATAATGATACAGGCTCCACAGGTACCCCCTCAATGATAAGAAAAGGAGAGTTGGAGGAGGCCACTGGGAGAGACATTCAAAGCACTGACAATGATGCCTGACACTCGTGCAAAGACGCTATGGCTTTGTGCACGAACCAGTAAGTGCAAAGAGTAAACGCAGGTGGTGTGTCCCGTCCACTACTTTCTAGCCTCTCGAAAGTGATCAGAAAGCGCCTTCTCCTGTTTGCACACACATTAAATTACCAAAATCATCTCATTCAGTTTAATACAAATAAAGCATATGATGTATTCCCTTGCCCGCACAAAGGTGCTTTCACAATCCCATTGTTGGAAAAATGTAAACCGGTGAAAACAATTTGTAAGAGAATAGATAAAATGTCGGTCACATCATGTTATCTTTCATTACATTCACATATATTTGTGGGTTTTTAACATGTAAATTAATGCCTATGTTATCTTTGGCAGGGTCCTATTTTCTAATGCTTGATGACAAAATTAATGTAACTCTATGTGAATGTGTATTTTCAATATTGACTGTTTACGTTTATTGTATTTATGTATGCTGGGACCCATGGGAGACCAGTGGATTCCACTGAATGGGCCATAGCTGGTACCAATCTTGCTTAACAGAGAGAGAATATTAGAAGGCCTACTGGAGTTAGGGGGTTTTTAGCCGGGTTTTAAACGTACTTTATTGATATTGGCCAAGCACATATTTATTGCCTTATTTTTATCTCAGTTCACATACCACAAATCATGTTTGTCAGGAGTGTATGTTCTCATTTTGAAAGGGTGCACTGTGAACACAAGCGAATTTGACATCAAAAACATTCACAGCAAAAATTGTCAAGAGTTTACACCTTGTGAATTAGCAGAGTGAAAATTTGAATTTGCAAAGAAATTCACATTCACAGTTGTGTGAACCAGACTTTACAAAGCCAGGCACTAAAGAAAAAAGTCAAAGTGCATCATGTCTGAGGATGCACCGTGTAAAAAGTGTCATCAAAGACAGATGGAAAACATTTGTTAATAATGGAAAACATTTCAATGCAAGAGGCACTGTATTCATAATTTAGGCTGATAGAAAGCGACCCTCCCGCACATGCTACCCGAGACTAGCAGACAGTGAGTGGGTGAAACCGCGAAGTCAACACCGTACTCTTGTGTCTGACTAGGAACTTGACTGCCGCAGTTCCCGCACGGTGTGGGGTTGTATGTCGCAGAGTTCACTTGATTTGTCGTCGAACGCCAAAAGTCGGATCCCGAAACGTAACTGGAGCAGATCAAACGACCGTCAGGACTAACACTGAGTTCTTTAATGTAACCCTGACCGTCTGTGGGTTCCTTTGTGTAGTACATCAGACGTTTGGCAGGGGGTCTGGTCACCACTGTGTCACCGTGTGATGCTTCTGGTACAGGATCTTGAAGATCATGAACACATGTCCACTGTTAGAGGAAAAAGAAAAGGTCAATCTGTTAAGTTGAATATCTACGGACTATGAACTGAAAAGCAGAAAGTTTGTTCATATAATTTGGCAAATTTGTGAGCTATAAAGCAAATATCAACTCCGGACCAGCCACAAGCTAATATTCACATGACTATTTTTACATGTGGCCTGATTGTTTTTCCATCACTGAGTTCGATCGAGGACCATTGGTCAACTAGAAGTTGGATTGCAAACATCTCTTGTTAAAAACAACGGTCACAATGTTGTATCACTTGTTATACCACTTGTTATGGTGCACCGGGTATTGCAACAAACCCTGGAAATCTGGTCTTGAATTATTTACTCAACTACACCACCTACTGACGAGGTCAACAAGTGTTTTAGTGCTAATAGTCACACTGTGGTTAATTGTATTTCTAATAGAAACTTGCTCACTAATTGATTGTCTCTTAGATCATAAACATGTTGTTCTAACCTCGGCATCATTATCTCGTGTGGTGTATCTAGACATCATAGCCCATCCCTGAGGATGCACAACCAGGGACGAAATGCAAGACGCTTTACTTCCATCGGGGAAATCCGACACCAGCTCCACGCGATTCCTGCCCCTCCTCCGTCCTGCCAGATTCTCTCCAGTCCGAGCTCTCCATCAAATTCACTCGGTTCTTCCCGAGACCAACCCCTTGGTAGTGTCGGGCAAAGTCCAGCCCGGCCAGGTCAGAGTTCAAAGTTGAAAGGTTGAGGTCATGGACGATGATGTAGAATCCCGAGCCGTGGACATGACCAATTTGGTGCAGTCGGGCGTGAGCCGCGTCCTCATCAGAGACTCGATATAGAAGACTTTCTCATGAGGTGTGCCTTTCTCCTCATAGCTGGGGGAAAAAAAAAATTGGCCCGTAAGTACTTGATTATTTCTTGTAAAGATTATTCATTCCCTTTTGGTCACGTTTTGATCAGCAGCATGGCTGATGCATGTTTTGTGTGGAAACTTTCCACACATTTTGAGTTTATTCAGCTCCAAGACTAACTTTTGTTCTGATTTCACACACAAATAAATCAATTTCCAAAAGCAAATTTCCAAATTTCATGGATCTGCTCAGTAGAAAATACTGTGTAGCAAGTTCATGTGCAACAAATCAAACGTTGCTGAAGCTCTAGTTACAACAATATCACATGACATGTTGGTTGGTAACCGTTCTGCTAAACAAATATATGTACATGTACATTTAATGCCTCTGTCCAGTTCGGCAAACTGGTGTTAGAATATTTTGTCTTTACCCATTGATGTCCCAAGTTACAACGTTGCCGTCAAATGCCGACGTGACTAGCCGTCTGGTTTGCCGGCAGTACTCAATGCTCTTGACCCAATTGGTGTGACCCTGCAGGCATCGGATCTTCTGTTTCAGGTTGCGGATATCCCACAATGCAATGGTGGAATCGTCGGACCCCGAAGCGAATGTCCTGCTGTCCAAAAATCTACAGTTCAAGTGTCAAAACAATTTTAACTGAAGAGTGGTTATTATAGTTACAATTTTAATTTTTATTTTTCAGTCCCGTTTTTCGTCCCATGTAATCAGCATTTAGTAAGTTGATTCAATAAGCCATACAACTGTAACTGTACATTGCACATGTGCATTACAGTGTATGTTTTTTATTTTTGTGATGTGCGCATTACAGTACATGTACATATTATTTTGTGATGTGTACATGTAATTGTTCTATAATGCATTAACCTACTTTCAAGTGGTCTTGTTAGTCATAATCATATACAATCCATATTGTGCATTTTAGCAATGAACACGGGGCAAAATTAAACCATTTTTTAACGGTTGGTCATACCATAGGTCAAGAAATATAATAAGCAATTATTATTCACCTACCTAATGCAGTTGACACAGTCAGAGTGGGCATTGCGAACCGCTGTTATATGCTTGGTTGTCAATGGATCAAACAGCAACATGCTATTCTCCTCACAAGCTGCTACTAGGACATCACTGTGGACCGTAGGGAGAATTTGAGTGTGACTTGAGGAGAGGTTCAACTTTTAGTTCACATAAAGGTAACAATTGCTTTCAAGTTGAAGTAATTTTAGCAAATTAACACTGAGCAGAAATAGACCCTTGCATTGAACAGTTTTGGGGTTATTTTTGGTATTTAATTAAATTAAGTAACAATGAATTAACAAGAGGTATTCTCATGTAAATCCTTGTTGGACAAAAGTACCCACCTCAAAGATGGGTACAATGCAAAGAATTTCTATATCGGCTCATTGTCTAGATCAAGTGCTATTTCAAGTTGATTTATCTCCTTGCTGTAGCTTGGTTGTTCCGTCCTCAATCCTGCACAATCTTCTAATCTTGGGGGATTTTTAAGTATCACAGAAGGTTATAGACAGTGCTCAGTGATGTAATCGGGGGGGGGGGGGGGGGGGGGGGGGTGCACTCCCCAGAAAATGAAGCCTCCTAGGTCCCCTACAACTTGACCCATTTGGATCCGCCACCGGTTATGGATAATGGTATAAATATTTTGTCCGTACCCATTTGGAGAGAACTCCAGGTTAAAGATTGCCTCATGCCCGTTCTGCTTGGAGAAGTCCGAAAAGCCTGAAGGAGCAACTCGGCTGTATAGACAACACTTGATCTCGCTGAGTAGCCTTTGCTGACACGATCCAACGTTTGCACGGTAATGTACCCCGATGGCAGACCCGGCGCACACCGAGGCCGGGTGGGCCGTAGGCCGGTTCCGAACCCAACTGCTAATAGATGTCTTCTGGGATACACTATTAGCATTGGTTGTTCCTGCACTGTTATCCTTCGATTTTTTATTCACTGCCATGGCGATGCAGTGAGAATGTATCCAAAATAAACAGTAACTGCAAACACAGACAGTCTTGCTTTTTTGAGTTCAGCCAAATTCTTAGTTGAAATTGAATGTCACTTCAAATTCGATGCAATCAATCTGAGATTAGAGACTGAATTTCTGAGGATAGATAAGTGTGTTTTAAATCAGTGATGGTTAAGCAAAGAAGTGCAAATCACAAACAAGTCTTGAAAGTCGGCAAGACACTGTGGACCATTCTCTACTCAAAGATAACAAGGTAAAGCATTAATTAACAGAGTCAGAGAATGGTTGTGATCAACATTACATGTATGTGTATAACCTTGTTGTTTCACAGTTCACTTTTGTAAAATCAAGTTTGAATTATTGTCGGTGTCATCTAATGAACGTTCCACAACAAAACCCTTGTTGATAGCGGTGACCATCTCCATATAAAATGTGTCAGTGGGGAGCTGGATGAAAGATC